GCGTTTGGAGTTCACGAATCTTAGTTAAGTGCCCAATAACTATTGAGGCTAGTATTTTATATGCTATATTAGTCAAACTAATCCCTCTATGGTTATCACAGGATGATTTTGACCCCTTCTTATATATTGGGACAATTAGAGATTGTAACCAGTCAGGTGGGATTACGTCCAACTCCCAGATTTTAGCTAAAATATTAGTCAGCCTGATCTCTGAATCTGGATCACCATACCTAAAGACCTATGGAGCTAAGCCATCTGGACCCGCTGCTCTTCCTCTTTTCAGATTAGCTGTAGCTTCAATCCATTTTTATTAAATTAATAGAATTTTCTTTAGTGATCCATTTGTCCTTAGACACATAACTTAAACTTTCATTTTAGAAAAAAATGTCCAAATAGGTAAACAACAACAATTTGTGATAAACATATGTACTTATTCCGAATGATCATCACAAATCAAATATCACTAGTTCAACTGGCACAAAAAACTCAATAGAAATTCTTCATTTAATTATGGTGAGTAGCTGTAATCTATAAATAACTTAAAATTCTTATGAAGAAAACCTTTACGGTCGGTTGGATCTCGTGATGCAGGTGAACAACAGTATGTAGTTGCTAACAAACAAAAATGAAATTCTTGTTTCATTTTCTTTTAATAAATAAAGCAAGGTCAACTGAATACTGGTCTGACTACTCATAAAAAAACAACTCTCAGAATAAAAGAATTATAAAATATTTCTGAACATACCTAGCTTCATTGTTACAATCTAATCCACAACCAGTTTTTAAGTTGTATTGTTTTCACCATAATTAGCATATAAGGCATTAAATAGTGTAGGTTATTATCACTATAATTTTGAGATGGTGGAGAAGATTTGTACCTCAGATGGATGATTTTGATGGGGTTTTGTTCTCTGAGCTGGATGGTTTGATCGTGGAGCTTTCATTGTCATCAGCACAAACTTTGGATAGAAGGACGATGAAAGCTGCACGACCAAACCATCCAGCTCAGAGAACAAAACTCCACCAAAACATTAGCACTATAAAATGTCTAAAGAAAAATGTATTATTAAATCTTTTAACATAACAAATCTACTGAAACATACACATAGAAGGTTAGAATATTAAAGCAAATTAAAATCAATTTTCAGTGTGTTTTCCTGAACAAGATACTATCACTATGTGAAATACAATCGCTATTCATAAGTACATTTATTTTCATGTTTAATAGTGATGATTTTACAGTGAGTAAAAAAAATAAATACGATAATTAACAAAAATTAGGAATTTCACGACATTAAAGGAAAGCACAATTTCTGTTAACCATAGTACCTGCAAAATAAAATATAAAACAAGGAAAAACTTCGGAGATAAAAGCAAGTAATTACAATCCATCAATTAATAATAATAATGTCCGGTTATCGGTTGGGTTTTCTTTTTTAAGTTCCACTGAGAAACTGTAATTCATGGAGTCAACAAATTCAAAATCGAGACAGTTTGCCACTTAGGGAACTGGATAAAAACTGATTTATGCTGCCGATTGATTGTATTTAAAAATGCACCTTTTCTAATATTTCATCGTGCTATTCACAAGATTTGAAGTCCTTGGTCTTGACTCCGTAAGTTACGAGTGTTGAGAATCGAACTAGAGTTAGCCATCCATCAAATACTTCCTTACTTTTTATATTTCTTCCGTTGGTACCTATTTGTGATCAGGACTACTTTCAAATCAGAAACATTTTCACATACCACCCACCTGAATAAAAAACGTGGATTAAATACATTGCATCATTTTGTATAAACATATTATCGACAGATTGTAAACATATAACTGATGTATCCTAGCGGCATGTACATAGAACTTACCTGTAATCTTTCTACGGTTTTTTATCATAACAACTATTAGTAAAAGTTTTGATCCAACAAAATAAATCCCATAGATATCTCTTAAAAACCCCACGTTATCTCACCAAGAATCATATTCTTCGATTTCTGATCTTCATGTTACTAGTTCATTGTATCACAAACTATGATATAAATTTCTGAAACAGTCGTAAATAATTTAATAATACTGATACCTATTAATAACACATATTTTCACAACAGATAATAGTAAACTAGAAAAAAACCATTTGCTGATCATAATTAACCCTAAACACTTTTTAAGGGCCTGACATATATGGAGATTCCTCTGTGTCGTATAATTATAGGTCCTAAGGATAATTCTACCAGAGAAGAAAAATTACCCTGTCCACTAAACTATTAAACGTTATACCAACTAACCGTTCACATAAACTTTTGGTTACTTCGTGTGTGACTTTAATGTTTTTGCAAGATGTATGAAATCCTCAGCACACAAACACGTTCAAACAACAGATGAATTGTTATGTTGTTAAATGACCCACATATTAAAAAATAAGACAAAAGTGATATAGGAATTGTGAGCTTGCTTATTTTCTAAAAAATAAATAAAACCGTAAATAAGTAGACTGTGAAAATTATTTGGTGTCATTCTCAGTATAAAGGCTATTTCCGTAGCGACCTGATGTCAGTAAGTAAATCAATGATAACTAGGAAGACATGAAGAAATTTTTCGTTTTGATTTGATACTTTCCAGAATAAAATCTCAAGGTTGACTCAGAAGAATATTTATGTGAATTTCTTCACGCACTTATGGGAAACCGCGAACTATAGAGTTGATTGAATCAGAAACAAATCAGTTAACCACCAGTGAACTTCGATGTAGATGACAATATGTTGTGAATTGATTACACTTGAAGTTTTGAAAATCTGGGCATTGGCTTAATAGCTTAGTTGCATCAAGTAACCTCTTAAATTTCTACCGTACACTGAGCCATAGATGTTTTCTGTTGTAAAGTCTTGGACTAAAACAGGTCAACTGTCTAATGCTTTTATGTTTTTTTTCGATAGTACTCCACATAATTTGAATTTATGGTGAAAGTCATCTTCGAATTGTACAAAATTACCGAAGTGGCTACTATTGACATTTTTATAGATGGATTAGGTGATATTCAATAACCATTGAGTAATTATTAACGTAAACATCTATCAGATATTTTGGTATCTTCGCGGCAGACTAGTTTTTTAAACCAAATACCAGAATATTCTTGTTAAGTCTTTCAATTGAAAACATGTAAGCATATTTCTACTGGTAAACCATATTTCAACGTAAAGAATTACTCAGTAAAGTCATTTTTAATTTATATAATTATGTTTAAAAAAAGCATTGAATTTATTTGATGATGAGAGATTAATTTTCATGTTGCAACGAAATATTCTTCTAGCCTTTCAGATAAGAAATAATAGGTATGTATTGTGAAAGGTGCTTTTTGATAAACAATATGTTAGAAATTAACTGAACCTATAGGTAAAGTAGTATTTAGTTACTTTTTCTATATAATCTACCAGAGACTACTTTCGTTTGAAACTAATGAGATTCTAGTTCACATTAATTATTGTTTCTTCATTCAGTTCATTTTTATTTAAATTTTTTCACTCAACCTTTAATATTCAGTTTTGAACTCTTCTAGCCCTCAACAATAGGTCACAAGCCTTTCACGATCTACTCACTGGAGAGGGAACAACCATGGAGAACAACTGGAAAGGGATCAAGGAGGCAATCACTTCAACATGTTATAAGTTCCTGTGCCACAAGAAGCACCATCACAAGGAATAGATCAATGTTGATACACTGGATAAGATTGAAGAAATGAGGAACAAGAAGGCAGCAATCAATATCAGCCAAACAAGAGCAGAAAAAGCCAACGCACAAGCCGAATACACAGAAGCAAACAAGCAAGTGAAGTATCAGAGCTGAAAAACGTAAATATGTGGAAGATTTAGCAATGACGCGGAAATAGTTGCTAGCGAAGAAAACATGAGACAGTTGTATGATACACCAAAGAAGCTTGCCGAAAATTACCGTAAACCAGAACGACCAGTGAGAAGCAAGGAAGGCAAGGTAATCACCAACATTGAAGGACAGTGAGACAGGTGAATAGAGCAGGAATCCGTAGACACCCAACTTCAAGATCAATAGGCTGGATTCCGTAAGGATCTATCGTGTACTGACCAAATCGCAACACTACGGATTATCGTGGAACAATCAATTGAATGGAATTCATCACTCTACATCAACTTCATTGACTGCGAGAAATCATTTGATAGTGTGGATAGGACAACACTATAGAGGCTTCTTCGACACTACGGCGTGCCTGAGGAGATAATCAATATCGTACGATTTCCTGTGATGGATTAAACTGCAAAATCCTGCATGGAGGACAGCTGGCAGACCCGTTTGACGTAAAGACCGATGTTAAACAAAGTTTCTTACTCTCACCCTTTCTCGTTTTCCTGGTGAAATACTGGATCATGCAGACGTCAACATCTGGAGGGAGGCACGTGACACAGTAGACAGCTGGATGATCTAGACTACGCAGATGATATGGTTCTCCTATCACACATGCAACAATAAATGCAGAAGACATATCTGGGCAGTACCATTGATGAACACGGTGGATCTGATGTAGTTGTGAAGGCAGAGATTGGCAAAGCAAGAGTAACATATCTACAACTGAAGAACATCTGGAACTCAAAACAACTGTCAACCAAAACCAAAGTCAGAATTTTCAATACAAATGTCAAGACAGTTCTAATGTATGGGGAGGAAACCTGGAGAACTACGAAAGCCATCACCCAAGAAATGCAAGTTGTCTACGCAAGATACTTCGGACTCGTTGGCCAGACACTATCAGCAACAAGTTACTGTGGGAGACAACAAACCAGATTCCAGCGAAGGAAGAAATCAGAAAGAAGCGCTGGAAGTGGATAGGACACACATTGAGGAAATCACCCAAAAGCGTCACAAGGCAAGCCCTCACATGGAATCCTGAAGGCTAAAGGAGAAGAGGAAGACCGAAGAACACATTACGCCTAGAAATTGAGATAAATGTGGGAAGAAAGAACAACTGGAAGGAAGGTCCAGGACAGAGTGGGTTGGAGAATGCCGGTCGGCGGCCTATGCTCCATTAGAGGTAACAGGAGTAAGTAAGCTTCCTCAATCAACTGAAATTGTAAGGAACCTACAACAAACTACATAAACCTTGACCAATGACATACAGATAATACTTTAAATTATCTTTTGGAAATTACATAAGTAAAAAAGCAAAGAAACAACAAGACCAGCTGAATTACTGAAGAACTTCATCATAACTGCTTATCAATAGCTTACGTTTCAAATGACACTAAACTGTAAATTCTGATTGACAGTTTAGTGTACCTTATGTGGTTAATTATTAGCCTATACATCAATTGTAGTTACACTAGGATGGAAAATATAATATTTACGCTTCCTTTGACTTCAGATTTTTTGTTTTTCAATATCCAGAAACATTAAACTTATTATTGTTTATCTATTTACAAGTATTAGGTGATTAGTTAAGTTGAAATTAAATTGACCAGTGGAGATGACAGACGAGACTTTCGTTCCGTTTTGGATGTGAAAAAAAGAAAATTGCACGCTGCTAACTTTACTACTTGTAAGTAGTTAATGACTTCAAGTAAAGCATTTTTTATTTCACTTGAATTTCATAAAAATTTATTAGCAAAATGAATAGATTCATCCTTTTTTTATTTTAACTAAATAACTTGTAAACAATATTTCAGTCTGTTATAAATGATCTATGTGAGCGAGTAACGAGGATTACACAGTAGAGGTGATATGTGAAATTATCGAATTAGAAAAAAATCCTTAACAATAACACATGAAATTATGTTGTTCTCTAACTTGCTATTGAAATTCGCACAAGGAAATTGATTATCTTTTATGCTTGTGGAATACAGTCGTTGAATAACTGTCATTTCCCCACATTACTTAAATATTGAAAACGTTCTCAACTATATATAACGCAAATTATTGAAGGGTGGTTAATAATCTTTCGGCTATAATTTAATCATTGTATTTTAAGTTCTTAAGATATTATATCATAATGTTGCTAACTACTCACACTACTAGAAGGATAATTAATTTCTCGGATTTCTTAGGTTATAAACATTACGAATTCCGTTATCAGTAAAATATTGGAGGTTCCATACGACTAAATTTGAAGGTACTTTTCGATGTTGATATAATGGCACTTGTTTTAACGGTGATTGGTAATTTCATGCATCTAACGAAAATTGCAACACACTTATCTTGATTCCAGGTATCGAAATCTTTTTTTCTGGTTATTAATTCCAAGATAATGAAATCCAAGTCCATGGATCCTGAATATAAAAAACATTTGCACCAGACGGTGCAGAGAAACAGTGGATGCTTCAAGTTGACGCGAGGTATATACATTAACAAGTACAACCGAACATTCCAACCGCACTGTAGTGCAACGTCATGTATCATTAAGACTATATTGCTCACTTCTATTATTATTTACTGTTTTTGTCTTGACTGAATGATCAAACCTGATGATCAGTATACACCTATGACAAAACCAGGAAGCTGTTAAATACGGACTAATAAAATGTCACAATATTATATAAACGTCAGGTGTTAGCTTCATCAGAACAAGATAAAAATGGAAAATGCGACTAATACAACAACAAATTAGGATTTTATTTTAAGCATAAAAGTTTTAAGATAAAATATAAAACTACGAACGAATTATAAAAATCTCTGACTTATATACATTGGATTACGACAGAATATATATACATTGAAAAAAAGTTATGACGGGTTTAAGTAACCACCAGATACAAAAGAAATACCCTCTTTAGATAGATTACTGTAAGTGTTCAGAATAACAGTACGATTTCTTATTGGAAGTCTCTCATATAAAGGTTTAGAGGATATCGGATGACTCAATGATTCTTCTCTATCATTTAACCATTTTACGACCATCCCAGGATCATTACGTCTCAAAATACTGGGAGAAAAACCAAGTCCACTACGATGAGCAACAGCCTGTGGAGAATCAAACACAGATCGGATGTAAACAGATTTTGTTGCATATCCTATTTTGCAGGATTTTGATTCCCCGCTTAATAACTGCTTGTTAGAATTGCGTGAAATTGGCGCCCCGTAGTAACCAAGACCTTTCCGGACTCCGGGTGGAAGACTACCTTCACAAGTTATAGGAACTTTTATCCCCGAAGAAAATTTAGGATGACCTCTTTTAGCTCCGAGTCCAGTACCTGGAATCCAACCCATACGTTTTAATAGTTGCCCACCATAGCCCTGTGGAAAAATGTTTAGGAGAGTAAGGAAGTTCAACATAATTCACTGGTGATAAATTTGAACAAATAGGCTGTAAACACAACATTTTTTACATTCTTACCTCATCCATTTTAAAAGTTATTACTCACCTACTTACGCCTGTTAACCCTCGTGGAGGACGATTTCGTTTTTATCTTATGGAAACAGTAAACAGTCGTTGTTATACGAAGCTAGGTAAGTAAAAACACAACCGACAGTGTGGTTTCAAATGATTTATGACAAAATTACGGTTCCAAACCCAGACTTAATACTAAATGTAAACAATCTCAATTTGCAACCTGCACACGACATATGATACGCTATACAATATGATATACCTTTTGTCGACAGTATTTATTAATCAACTCACATATTCAACTTTCACTTTAGCTGAACAATTGAGAATTAAAATTCATTAAAAGGTAAATTACTAGCATCTGATAAGTCACCTTATCTAAAAGTGGATCCCTAATTAACTAATTCATCAGTAATATAGCTGACAACAATATATGTCATAAGTTATGCCCGGTAAGTCTAATCATATAGTTATTATTGACCGAACTTGCTTTTCAAGTACTCGGTTTTGGACAACACGTTTATGAGAGCTAGATATACTACACAGATGTCTAAACCAAAGTAGGTAGATTAGGTCTTGAATTGGTGACCTATTGGTTTCCCAATCCCAAAGCTACTACTTCATACAAATATAATTATCATTTTTCCGTATTTTTTTTCCACTTACTAGTTTAGAAAAACTAAAACCCTAGCAAAAACTAGATGAAAAGGGACGAGTCATATACAGAACTTTTTGATCAAGGCAGATAACAATCAGATTCAACATTAATAATCATTCTAAAAAGTAAAATGAAGACCCAAATAAGGAAGACTCCCAGTTTCTATTGTAGAGCATATCAGCTACTTTAGATCGATCGAAAAAGTATTTCAGTCTGTACCAACATGTATATGGATTATAACCTGAGACAAACACTTTTCATTCCATTATATTATTTCAACCAAAATTGATTGTTATTTGACCCTTTCTAGCAAACATAGTTTTGTATAAAAGCTGCTAGTATGGCTTCTGTGAAATTGCCAAATGAATAATATATGAACAGCAGTATAAGTTAATTGAACAGTTTTCGCTATCAAAACATACTACCAAACCTCACGCAACTTACATGATCCCCCTATCCTACTCAGCGAGCAGTGAGCAATGAAAGGATATAGCAAATTTTCCGGTATTCCTAGTCTGCAGCCGCCATCTCATTTTACATTCCTATTTTACAGAGTAGTCAAGTGGTATTTCAGTGATGTTTTGTACCTGGTTTCTAACTGAAATACGTGCTTGAAAGTTTCACAAAAGAATATTTATTTGACCAAAAAGACTCACTTTGGTTACCACTTCACTGGTAAAAAGAGCGTATGGATTATGTGCAAGGTCTTGAACATGAATAGATTCCCTTTCTCGATTTATATCAATAAGTTCAGCCGTATCTCTATCTCCACCCTGAAATCCATTTGGACATGGACCCGTACCAATGCCAGTTGGTGTTTCATATGGCTGCATGTCTATATCCCAATCGAAAGATGAGGGTTCGTCAAAAATCTCTTCTTTTCTTAGTGGGTCTAACTTCTCCCAAGTACGTTGGTCAGTGTGGAAAACTAGGCCAGATCCACCCTTTTCCCAAACAAGTTCAATTTTACTTTCATACTTTAACTGTGCCTTGTTTCCCTTGTCTAAATTGTACGGGTCGTCATGCAACGCCTCGAAACGATCCCATTCTTCTGGGATATCATCTTCATCTTCAACATTAACTGGGTCCGAAACTAATTCTAAAACGTTACTGGAGGGTACGCGGCGCTAAAACAAAGTTTTGAAATTTGAATTACTAAAGGTGAAGGTGGAAAACTAAGAATAAAAAATTAAACAAATTTTTGCTATGGCGAATGTTGTGAAGCTTCTAGAAGCACATCCAAAGATATTCCTATTATGAAGTCTTTAAATATTTTTAAGGTAGTTAGTAGTGAAACAGGAAATTATTCATTAAAGAGACCCTTAAGTTAGTGTCGAAATAAGGAAACAACAAAAACCGAATACAAACTAACTCTATGATCTATATAAAAATGACACACTTGAGGTTATTATGACTATAAGAGTCCCGATAAACCAAAAGTCACATTAATTTAAGTACTACCTTAAATGCTGTACCTTTAACTGTTGAAACAGAGATAGCTTTTTATAGACACTAATGAACTTTGTAAGAGTTATTGTTTTTATGAACCCTATTTGATTTACTGTTACACAAATCAGTGTGGATGTCGAATAAACAACTAAAATATTAAAATCTGCTTGTATACGTATTTCTCAACCACATTTGTAGAAAGAAGTAAATAAAAGTTTGTAAGGTGAGATTTGAAATTAAGACTCCTTGGTTAGGATTGACACCTTACACCACTATGTCACAGGTCTACTGACGGAATTCGAACCTCTTGATATTAAACACTACATCGGTCAAACAGACTTTTATATAGTCGTCTCAAACGAATCTCTGTATCTTTCTACCAATCATGTCTAATCCCTTTCTAATCCTCGCCCCCGTCGATTCAGGAGCCAACCGCAAAACGTCTTTGGATTTCACTTAGGATGACGTTACAAGCTTTCAATACTAAACCAATTCAATAATCTAGTGGATATTCTTATACATCACTTAGAGACCTAAATTTGTGACGATGGAAATATGTGATGGTCTAAAACAAAAGCAGCTTTTACCTATGGCTCAAATCAAGCACTTAAGATTCTCATTTACGGAAATTTAGATGTATTCAAGGTGGTCATTTACTTTTTTGAGCCCACCACTATGTGTGTCGGATACAAATGCTAATACAAATGAAAAGTGTTAGTCAGTTGTCTACTCAAGTCAATTAAGCAATGAACATGAGACTATAAAAGGTACATACAATAAACTACCTGTGGAAAATTATCAGATGAAATTCTTTAATCAGCACAATGAAGTAATAGAAAGTAAACTAACAGTCCACTACCTACAGAAAGTTGAATTCACACTTCTGTGTAGTTGCAACTTTTATTGATGGGAACAGCTACTAAACTGTAAAGCAACAACATGCTGACGTTGAATATTCCATCAATATGATTTGAAAACTTCTATAGGATGTAAATTATAGAATCACATAACAATTTACATATCTTTAGCAAGCACCTTATAGGAGTATAATAATAAAGTACAGACTATCCGATAATCTATGTGCTTTTGGTAAACCAAAAAATATTTCACACACATCACACATAATGTGAATCTAACATACCCTATTAGGAATATAAGAATTGCAGACGACACCATATTCAAAGTCAACATTATTTGATTCCGAAGAATGCACATTTTCATCCCCTGAACTTGAACTTTCATAAGTGAAAGGAACTGCGCCATATTTGCGGATCTTAGCTTGCGTAGAGAAGTCCAAATTAAGCTTCGAAATAATTGAACTCTCCAGTTTACAGTCTTTGATCAGACTGAAAAAGTGCTGAGTATGTGTCCCGACGTTCCCACGAGGCATCCATGATAGTGGTCTGAACTCAGGTAAACAGCTAAATTCTACAAAGATATCATTAAGGTCAGTGAAGTGTCACTTACGTTCCACAGTTGCATGGTCTAATAAATGTAAGGTACATTTCAACTCCAAAGGCACATCATCATTCTCATTAGGCCAATTAAGACCACTATATGTACGAAAAAACTCTTCGATATATTTCGCGTAGATAGACAAAATAGCACAGCACGTTGCTTTGCTTTTGGCAACTAGTTTGATGGACTTAAGGAACTGGGTTCCATCTATTTCGGTAGTTGATTCTACACCCACGATATCTGGTCTATGACGGTAGTGAAAACATGAAAATTTAGATGCCTCAACGAATTGTGAGAAAAAACTCCTTAAATTAGAAGCATGGTAAAACTTAGGTATGCTGGAAATCAATAGAAGTTTAGTATCTTCTACGGAAATTGAACAGGAATCACTTATGTTATTAGGATAACTCGTATTCAACATCGGATCCCACAAAATCGACTTTTGAAACTCTGTTGGAAACAGAGGTTTTTTCAGCTTGTGCTGATGAGCGTAATAACGAAAATATTGATGTTCAGATTCAAGATATTCTTATGTTTTCCGTCTTTGATTGAGCATACTGTTTGCTAGACGGAACTGGTGAACTGTCAGATTGCCGGGATCTGTATTTGAGCTGTAGACATTTCTTGACTAGGGAGAAGTATATTTCTTTTTCAGTCTCATGGAGACCTAAGAAAATGAAAACATGAATTAATAATAAGAGTGATCGATAAATGATACGTGCTGTAATTTTCTAAGGTAACTGCGGTACTAACGTAAACGTCATGGCTTCTTTTTTATAGAATTCCGATGTTTTGTAAATACTCTAATGCATTTAATACCTGCCGAAACTCACCCAGTCGTCAAGTTTATACATTTCTATCGTTAACTAAACGGCAAGGCTGAATGATATGCGTGTCGTAACCTTGAAGTCACCAACTTGTTTCTGACTTGTTCGGCAGCATTCTTTGGGTTAACCGTCACTTTCTTAAAAATAAAAAGCAGATAATATCACTACTTTTTCCGTAATGAGACATATGGTTCAGTTTCTAACCGTGAAGGGGTATATTCTGCGCGGAATTCGGAGTGTATTGATAGATGTATTTCATCACTAGAAGAAACTTGTCATTTGATTCAGATAACGTTCGGAATCAATAAAAATGTGTATATTGGAACAGAAATGTGAAGTTAAGAGGATTACTTACGCCTGTCACTTCTAGTGGAGGAGCATACGTCACCCACCGGCACTCTCCATCCAACCCTGCCCCGAACAATCCTTTCTAATTACTATTCATTCTTTTCATGTCTGCTTCCCATTCCCGACGTGGTGTATTCTTCGGCATTCCGCTTTTCCGCTTCCCCTCAGGATTCCAAGTTAGGGCTTGTCTCATGATTCAGTTTGGTGATTCCTTCAATGTATGTCCTATCCACTTCCTATGTCTTTTCTTAATTTCCTCTTCAGCTGGTTTGTTCTCCCCCACAGTAGGGTGTTGCTGGTGGTATCCAGTCAACGGATATCGAGTATCTTGAATAGACAATTGTTTATAAATACTTGTACCTTCTTGGTGATGGTTGTAGTAGTTCTCCACGTTTCAGCTCCGTACAGTAGAACCTTCTCGATATTCGTATTGAAGATTCTTACTTTGATGTTGGTTGACAGTTGTTTAGATTTCCGTATGTTCTTCAACTGTAGAGATACTGTCCTTGCTTTGCCAATCCTTGCCTTTACATCTGCATCAGATCCTCTCTGTTCATTATGATGCTGCCCCGATAGGTACGTGAAAGATTCCACATCTTCCAGAGTTTATCCATCAAGCGTCGTTGACTTGGTGTTCTCTGTATTGTATTTAAAGATTTTGGTTTTTCCTTTGTGTATGTTGAGGATTACTGATGTCGAGGCTGCTGCTACACCAGTTGTCTTCATCTGCATTTGTTTGTGTGTATGAGATAGAAGGGTCAAGTCAACTGAGAAGTCCAAACAGAAGGAGGAAGAGTAGGCAGCTTTGTCTGAATTCGGTCCTTACTTGGAATGCGTCTGTCATCTGGCCTCCATGCACAACTTTGCAGTGTGGTCCGTCGTGTGAATTCCGTATGGTGTCGACGATCCTCACAGCTACTCACACCATAGTGTCGAAAAAGTTTCCATAAATTCATCCTATTCACACTGTCATACGCTTCCTCATAATTAAGGGAGTTGATGCATAGTGACGAGTTCAATCGAATTGATTGTTCTACAATGATCCGTAGTGTTGCGACTTGGTCTGTGCACGAACAATCCTTAGGGAATCAAGCCTATTAATTTCGAAGTTGTACGTCCACAGATTCCTTCATTCTGTTTAATAACACCCTGTTGAAGATTTTTCCTGATATTGAGCGAAGAGGGATGCCTTCGTAATTCTCACACCTGCTGAGATTGTCTTTCTTTTGTAACTTGATTAGGTGTCCTACTTTCCAGTCTGTTGGTATTTGTTCTTCCTCCCAAACCTTCTTGAATAGAACGTGAAGAATATTTACAGTTACTTCTATGTCTGACTTCAATGCTTCAGCTGGTTAAGACGATGCTTGAGTTAAGTAACAAAATACATCTGCTTCTAAGGCATATTGTAAGTTAAAGTACTTATTGTGGTTTAGTGAGTAACCGAGTATTTAAATAAACTAGATAGTGTTTTCCCATTTCGACCCTTTTACTAGATCCTGATCCTAAGTTTTTTAAGTTTGTAAACAAAAGTTTGAAGCAATGCATTATAACTGATGTCAGTTTCTAGTGAAAACCCCAACCCTTGTTTGTACACTAAACTTAAAACTTCAGCTTTACTTCTAATATATCTTTCTAACCTTTTCTAAGTTATAACCAGTGTCATGTGATGATGATAACTATAAGGTGATAACCCAAACTCTGAACATTATCCCGAAACGCAATAAGTATACTTGACCTTTTCTCTCTACTACAAAGAATAGTTCGTTAAGTGAGGTTCGAATGATCAGACCAAAGTTGTGGTTTTACTGTTATTTTGTTGCGTTTTGTTGTTAACTGTTTGTAACCATGCTGCTTATCTTCATTTACTGATACGTCAGGTTTGTCAGCATACTGTACTTTCGCCTCGCACTAATAACATCACGGCAAGACGGAGTCATCCGAAAGATCTGCTACGTCTACAAGAAGGCTCCAAGAAGAGCTTTTGAGGAGCTACATGATTTTTGGTATGAATGTTTCCGTATTTTAATGCAAGACATCCTACTAGGGACTCAGATGTTTATTAACAACACAAAACAGTATACGTAAATATATTAATCCTTCCATATTCAGGTCCCTCGAACAACTAATTGAGTCTAACAATTTATTAGTGTGCGCAGATTAGGATAAGGAAATACAGCCTAAGGTTTGGTTAAAATATGATATACAGTTTCGACGGCGAGACTAAAGAACATGGACGACCTTTGAACGAATCTTAAATGACCTTGAGAAATATAAGCCAATCAGAAGACAGCATACAGTAAAAATATATTATATAAAACTCAAAAATTAAAGGAGACACTTTTCTTTTACATGAATCAAAAACTTATCAAGGTCAGATATAGGTTCAGAAGTTCTAAAATCATAGTGCATCCGGCACAGGAAATCATCTATGTGGCTCCATAGTAGTCGACCTCTGGAACCATGATAAAGTCCCGAAAATTCTTTCAGCCTCGACCACATAGTTTCAGTGTTGTCGGTATGTTGGTATGGTTTAGGATTAGGGTTAAGGTTTAGGGTTACGGTTCAGGGTTAAAGATGAGACTATGAATTATGGACGACATTTGAGCGACGCTAGAGTTTATCTGAGTGTCAACGTAATAACTAAGACTAAATGAGGGTTATAAACCCGTGTGAAGAATTCAAATTATGATTTACAGTACATGGTTAAGGTTAGGAATTATACATAGGGTTTTCATCACGAACTGACATCAGCTATAATGCCACAACTCTATCCAAATGTATAACTGAATTTTGCGTCAAAATCTTATGATGACTTATATTGTAGACGCTTAATTATCATGTTTTCTCTAAAATCCGTTATAAACCGACCGTACGTAAGCGTCAGGTACCGAACTTAGCGCCGTGACCTTGAAAACCCGCGAAAGCTTCTGATTGGCTCGTCCATATTCTTTAGTCTCGCCGTTTCGACTAGGTGGAGCATAAAGCCTGAAGCCAATTCTTAAATTTGCATTACGAAGTCTAGATACTCATTCTAACCAAAGTATCAACATGTCTATTCAACCTTGCCTTTCTAGCTCAGCTTATCCTGCCAGGCTAGGCGGATACCATGGTATCCGCCTGACAAATGTATTTGTCAGGTCGGAATTATTTAGCCACCAGAATCTTATGACTTTCCAGAACAGGCTTTTTTCAAACTGAAATGCAATTTTTTTATTGTCGAAAAATATTTCGGTGATCTCAGTACAGCATAGTTAACACACTAAAATATATGAAGAACGGGCATTAACAGCGCAACGTACAGTTTGAAATTGGTGCTATAGTTAAATGTACAGTCTTTATCCTTACGTATCATAGGTCGGTTGACCCATATTAATCCTCGTTACTAGTATTCTCAGCATTGCTATGCACAACATTTTTCAAGTCATTGAATAATATATCATCTTCATCTTTTGTCTCTTGTAAGTGCAGGATAAGTGTTCCATTGATTAATCAAATGGTTCAATTGGTTGTAGATGGAATAGAAAAGGTTTTCGCTTAACGGGTTCCCGTGTCTATTAGCAGTGAATCATCAATACCTTCAGGCAGAAACCTAGTTATATTAACGATGATAGATGAATAAAGAAATCGGTAGATCATAATAAGATGTTATCCTTAGTCCTTAAGAAAAGGTCAAGTTGCATTTTTAACGACTCCTGAGATGTCGCTTGGGCTAGCTCAGCCGGCAGCGAATTCCAGCATTTGACAACTCATAAGGAAAATAATTTTTGTCTACAGTCTGTTCTGCGATGTTGTGTCACTAGTTTCTATGTGTATCCCCTTAGGTTTGCATTAGGACTAAGCATAAGTAGGTGTTTGAGGGGATGTCATGAAGTGTCAAGGATACTGTAAACCATAAGAAAGTCACCTCTCAGACCCCTATGCCTTAATGTGTGAAAATTAAGTGACTGAAGGCGCTCTTCATAATCTTAAAATTTGAGTCCTCGAACTGATTTCGTGGCTCGCCGTTGGATAGGCTCCAGAGCGCCATTATTCGTTAGGAGTGTGGCATGAAATACTATGTTTCCGTGATCTAAATGGGGGAGAATAAAGCTGTTGAAGATTATGTGTAAAATTCTTCGTCGAACTGGCCAGAAATGCACTTTATCGTTGCGAGTTCAAAGTTTTCTGGGAAGGCATTTTTGTCACAGAGTAAAACTTCAAGTCCTGAAGTAGAAGCACTCCTAGATATTCTTCGATGTAGGATACTTCTAAGGAAGAGTTTTTTAAGTTGTGACTGTAGTCCGCAACATGTCGCAGATGGTCTACTTTTCATTGTGAAATGTTAAAAGTACTACATCTACCGGAATTTGAAGTCCAGTCATATCCTCCTGAAGTGCCAGTATATCCCCTTGGTTGCGTATCTCTCCCCAAAGTTTCACATCATCAGCAAACAGTAATAAATCAGACGATACCTGTTGTGGAAGATCGTTTGTATAAATCGAGAAAAGAAGAGTTCCCAGTACTGAGCCCTGGGGCAACCCACTAAGAGTGTTGTTAACCCTGACCTTAAAATGTCAATTGTTTAGATATGAAGTGAGCCAGTCAACTAAAGGTGGTTTGATACCCAACCGTTTGAGCTTTTTGATAAGACATAAATGACTGACCCTATCAAAAGCTTTTGAGAAATTAAAGTAAATGATATCAATCTTCCCCTTGCGATCAAGGATGCTTGACCATCAGTCCATCGCAGTCAACAGGTTGGTTATACGAGGTTGATCCTTCCTGAAACCATAGAGCTGGCGTGAGGAGAAGTTTAAGGATAATAAATAGTCGTGAATGGCATCGCATACCAGAGACCCAAAATAAAGTTCTGTAAGTTTTTGACATTGGATGCTGACCACATTATTTTGAATGGGCTCACCTAGTTGAACGCGCTCGTTCATTCGTCCGCACCAGATTACCAGTAGGAACGCCGTGCCCAACTTCTTCGACAACCGCTAACCAGATAAGATCAGTCACTACTCGATATATTGATAGCCTATCAAATATATCTTCGAACCTTCTCGATTCTGACTTTTGATTTCACGAGGTGGGTAGGATTCGTAGTAGAAATTGTTATTGGATAAAGCTTTGTCGAAGTCCGAATACTTGTGACAGCTCATGCCTTTGCATATCTCCAACTTTTGCTGTGTCCTAACGCGACAAAATCACAATTTCTTATCCGAAGTATACATTCTGGTTCATGCGTTTGGCCGATTACATTTATTGTATTTTCACACAACTTAATTTTTATTTTTTTATTTAAACACAAAAATATTGGTACGAAGAGGCACCACATATACGTGCGCCACACAAATATCATCTGATTTCTTTGAAGACGGTGGTACTGCACAGTTGTCCAAAATGAAGCAGATGGTTTTGTTAGGAACCACACCTGAAGACTTTGACCTAAAGATCTCATCCAAAAAGCAGCGGAGAAGAGTAAAGAGAGGCAGATGGTTAATTACATCCAGAGATGGTTTACTGGGACAAAAAAACGAAGTACAAACACCTACTAGATAATGATCAATACGATTTTGATGTGAAAGCTTTACTTCTTCAGATAGGTTGAACATTTTAATGAGGGCACAATATAACATAGTCGAGAATTCTAAAATGTACCACAACTGTAATAATTCGCCCTGTTGTATTAAAAGTTCAGCTATTATTTGAGTTTAGAACCACTTTCTTTAAGTTCAACAGCGTTTTGAATGCACAGAAAAAAGTAATGAGAAAGATAAAAACGGAAATTCTTCAGCCAAGCGACCCATCCCTTGGGGATTTAATTTTCGCAGTTGTACAATTGTGTGTATATACAATTTAGACAATGACAATCCACAATAAGTTTGCAAAGAGTTACTAATTACCAAAAATAAAAACGGGACGAAAACGAAGAAACTTTTAGAAACATGCTGTACTTATCCACACAATTGAAAAGTGATAATCAAAGGGTTTTTTAGGTTCATTGCTGACAAACTGGTTTATGGCTAGTCTGAAAAACTGCCAAGTGAAACCCACTACAGGCGATTTCCATTTATACAAAATGTATGTAGATGATACTTCGGTTATTTACGATGTGTAACTTGGATTATATTTTTAGTAATTAAACTTACTTATAGAGTGGAAAAGAGAAAGAACACCAACTTTCTAGATGTTATAAGGTGATGAAGAAACATGGAAGGTTTTTACATAAAGCAATCTACAGAAGACCCAAATGGAAGGATCATTAAACAATCTTCTATGCCTATGTCTCAATTGATGTGGAGAATAATTCAACTACACCTCGCACTCACCACACTCTTTCAAAATAAACGTAAACGTTCTAAGTCGAGAGGAAACATATTTATAAAAGATAAACAAGTATACGAAGATCCTAAACTTGTTACGGAACTATTTAATGAACACTTTTGTTCCTCATTAACTGATGAAAAACCACTTAATGATTCAGAACTTATCACAGCATCTGTCTCTGAGATTACTAACGTAGACTTCAATGTACAGAATATCTCTAAGGCAATTAGTACACTGAAACACTCCTACACTGATGGACCAGATGGTATTCCGGCTAGCATGCTAAAACGTGGAGGCGATGATATGTGTGTTTTATTACTCAAACTATTTGCAATATCACTCTCTACAGCGCATTACCCTACTGCCTGGAAAACTACACACATCATTCCCAAAATTAAAACAGGACCTGAAGCAAATGTTGAAAATTACCGACCCATAAATATAACTTCAGTGGTGTCTAGAGTGATGGAGAAAGTAGTTAAAGCGGCGTTGGTCCAACATGTAATTACTAATAATCTCATCTCGGTCTCCCAACATGGATTTCTTAGGTCCAGATCATGTGATGCATGCCTAGTGGACTACATGAATGATATAACTCTGAAACGAGACAATGAACTCCTTGTATCAGTCATATTTTTAGACTTTAAGAAAGCTTTTGATATGGTTCCACACAAACGACTACTAGCCAAACTACGGTCTTTCGGAATCAACAACCCACTCTATTCATGGTTTGTCGCATTCTTAAAGGGACGTAAACAAATGGTAAAGTACAACGACTGTCTCACATTACCTAGACCAATAACTAGTGGCGTCATCCAGGGAAGTGCATTAGGCCCACTTTTGTTTCTCATGTATATAAACTATATATGTAACATCATAGAATCTGGGAAACCATGCTTATATGCTGATGATCTCAAAATAGTATACAGTTATAAGCCTGAGGCTCTAAGTGAAAGTGTACCCCTGATTCAAGATGATCTCAATAACCTAACTATCTGGAGCGAAAAGTGGCAATTACCATTTAACCTCCACAAATGCGGGATCATGCACTTTGGAAAGCACCCCTATGAACCCCAACTTTACTTAAATAAAAGTAAAGTCCAGACACTTAATTCAGTACACGATCTAGGAATAAATTACACAGGAAGCCTAAACTTTAAAGCACACGCATCCTTTATTATTTCTAAAGCCAGACGTCCAATTGGCTTCATAACAAAAAATTTCTTCACGACAGATGCCAAGCTTACCCTTTACAAAATATGTGTACGACCTTCACTAGAATACTGCTCTTTTATCTTCTCTAATATGAATACCCCTGACAAAATAAGAGTAGACGATGTTCAAAGACGCTTCACACGCCAACTGCTAGGAAGTGACACCACTCTTGATTACACAAGTAGATGTAAGCACCTCTCTTTAGAACCTTTATGGCACCGTAGGTTAAGGGACAATCTGATGTTTCTCTACAAAGCAATAAATGGACTGTCATTCCTAACCTCCTGTCCAACTATGATCAATGACCAAGCCTATAGACTAAGAAACAATGCATATACACTATTTACCGAAAAACACCAAAAACAAATGCGTTGTAAGTTTTTTACAGTTCGGTATAGTTTATTGTGGAACAGGTTGCCAATACCTATCCGTAACTGTGACACCTTTACCAAATTTAAAAGGCTAATAACCCTGTTACTAAACTCTAAAGAACTTCACCAACTATTCCTTGAACTCACGCCTACCAATGAGGCACTTTATTATGGACCGCCCAATATCTAGACGGATCAAGAATATAACTAACTCCATTGTCTTTAGTATGAATATAGCAAAACTAAAGAAAACATGCTTCATCCTTCCCCACTATTTATTGATTATTAACCATGGCCTTCCGCTCCTAACCCTCACTTTCAGTTTCCGGATCTCTCTAATGGATAAATCCAAATTATTCTCCCTAAGTGTCATGTCCTTTTATTTTTCTTATTACAAGTAGACAGATAACTCACTAA